CTCCTCTCCGCTCCTCTCGCCCGGCCTGGCCTCCCTTCGGCGGCGCGCCGTCCTTTGTGCTCCGGCCCGGGAGGAGGGACTTCTTTGTTTGTGTGGGGCAGGAATGCGGGCAGGAGGGAGGACGAGGGAAGCGGGCGGCCGGCGGGCGGGGGCAGCCATCGCCTCTGGGACGCGCTCCTCGCAGTCTTTAAAGAACCCATTAAAAAGTTAATAGCCTTTTTGAACTTTTGCAGCCCTGATTGGAATGTTTTGGAGATGTGCTCCATCACCTGGGAGGTCTAGGAATTTATTTTTAAAGGGGGAAAAGGAAGCCAAGAGCTAAATCCAGTTGTCAGTACCAACTAGAGTAGCTCTTACTTGGCCTTTCCACTGGAGAAGAGCCAGTCTGGCTTTATTGATAGAGTGTTGGGCTCAGACTCTGGGAACCTGGATTCAAATCTTCTCTCAGCCACATAAATTTGCTGGTGAGGGGCAACAGTAAACTATTCCTTGCACATTTAATGTACCTTGAAAGTCCTAGGATCACCATACGTTTGAAGTGATTTGCAAAGGGCTCGCTCGCCCCTTCCTTCCACGCCGCCTCCGCCCCGAGACCAAGCGTTTGGCCCCAGCGATCCCCACCTCGGGAAGCCGCGGAAGTTCTTCCAAAGCCCTGCAGGTACGGTGTGTGTGTGTGTTGGGGGGGGAAGGGTCTCTCCCCCCCCCTTACGAGAACCTGTGCAAAAGGCGCAGTCCTGTGGCTGGAAGTCCCGCGGGCTAGTCTCTCCCCCCCCCCTTACGAGAACCTGCGCAAAAGGCGCAGTCCTGTGGCTGGCAGTCCCGCGGGCTGGAATCCGCCCCAGGGCTGAGAGCGGTTCCTCTGGTCCTCCCTAATTATACATGGGAGCCAAAGTGACGGTTGGTGAAGGGCGGCGGCGGCGGCGGAGGGGGGGACGCAGCCGCCTCTGAGGTACTCGGGCAACAGGGCCCGCTTCCTCCCCCCCCACACCTTTTTTGGTGGGAGGGGGGATTCTGAAGAACTCTGCAGGATCCGTGGGTTCCCATTCAGGGGGCTGCAGTTCAAGCGGGTAGGCAGCGTGGACGGGTTTGGCAGGAACCGAGGGAAGGTAGCATCCAGAAAGAGAAGGTGCCCCGAAAAGTAAACCACGTTATAATGGGTTGGTTAGCCTTGAAACATTGAAAGAACGTCAGGGGGGAAGTGGGAGTTTCCAGCATCTTTCCTGAAGATCAGAGGACCGCTCCGCAGGGCGGAGGCAGGGGCAGACCTGAAGTCAACCAAGTGTCGGCTCATTGCCTCAAAGCAATACACTGCTTTTCGCTCCAGCTCCGGAACCGACCCTTCCCATCCCCCCTAGAGTGCCCACAGCCGATGGCAGCAGGAGACCCCAGAAGTGGCAGAGGAAAGGTGGCAGGGTCGGGGAACGCTCTCTGGCACCAGGCTCTGGGGTCCCCGGAGAGTCCATCCCCCCACCCCCCCCCCCACCTGGTCCTGCTTGATCTTCAACAGCTGCCAAAAGTACAAACGAACCCTAACTCCTGCCCTCTATTTAAAGGGCAGCTTCCAACAGGCGACTCCGGGACACACCCCCCACTCCCAATTTATTATTTTCTCCAACGCTGCGGAAGCCTGTAGGAGCTGCAATTCCTCCCCCCCTTTTTTAAAAAAAGGCACAGCCCCACATCCTGCCTTTCATATCAAAAACCACCCTCTTCCAAAACGGGATGCTGACCACCGATCCCATTCTTATCATTGTGCAACCTGGGAGGATCCCAAGAGGAGAAAGCTGGCCTTCCAGACCTCCTGACATCGTTGCCTGCCTTTGATTTCATGGAGGGGGAAATGGGCCAAGAGGGCCTGGGCCAGGTGAGGTGGGGAGGGACGCAAGTGGCTGACCTCTTCAGGTGGAACAACACCTAAACAAATGAACAGAAGATTACAAGTGGGTGACAGAGACAAGGACGCATGAGAGAGGGTTGGACATTATAGAAAGCGTTACAAAGAATGGGTTGTTTTGAGGCATCAGCCCCGTGAAAATGACTGAAATCATTCCAGTTTCATGGGCCCTGACCGAGCGACTTGGCCGTTCCTGGCAAGCTGTACTTGGGCATTTCAATCTAAACAACCCCACTGCACCAAATGCTAGCGGAGGTTTCTGCAAGAACAGCTTATCTTAACCAAACATACCTCTGGGCAAGGGCTTTCAGGGAGAACATATTCATTCCAGGTGGAATTATTGATTTTTTGATACTGGCCAGCTGTGGCTAGAGTCCCCTTTTGTTATCTGCAAGGACTTTTTCAAGATTAGGGGCCAATTGGGAAAGGGGAATCCACCTCCTCCCACAAGCCAGCACCATTTCTGAATGTGACCCTGAGAGCCCGTCCTGCAGAAAGGCAAGCAGCATGGAAAACGTGGACGGACCCAGACAAAGGATCAGGGCTGGGGGCTCGAGAAGAATCTCATCTCATCCTGCTGTCTACCTTGCCCCCCCCCCTTTTTAAACATCAGATAACATGAAAGAACTTTCACCCTGCTTGCATTTTGAAGAGTGCAATGTTATTTTGGAACCAACGTATTTGGTGTACGAGAAAAGTTTGGATTGTATTGGAGAACTGCTGTGCCTTCTGGATTGAATCTGATCGGCTGAGATACCCTCGCTATTTGTAACTTCTCCCTTTATAAATCTGGTGATCTTTTGTGACCTCAGAGTTGGCCTCATAAAGCCATTGGCCAAATGTAAATATTAGCGTTTTTGTCCTCTAGATATTCCCCGGCCTGGCTGCCATCCACCAGGAAGGAAGGACAAGAAAGAATGACAGCAGGATCGCCCAATCTGCTTGCTCTTAGCTGAAGGAACTAGGGTTAAGATCAGAGCTTGGGAACATGGCATTTAGGAGACTACGACACCCAGAATCCTCCAGACAACATGGTTTCTTTTCCCAGTTAAAATATATCTGACAGAAGCATAGGTTCAACCTGAAAAACTGGGAAGCATTTTGAATTGTGTTTAGAGATACAAGGACACAGAACACCGTCATCATGAGACTATCCTGTAGAAGTTCTAATTTCTTTTGCCCAACAACAGATGACAGCTAGGATTTTTCATTGGCTGAAAACCGGTTGCTTAGCCTAAGAAGTCACAGGAAGCACAGGGTCACAGAAGATCCACTGAATCACTGGGGATTTATTTGGTGAATCAGCTTTTCCATATGTTCCCTTGATTCAAAGGGGCTTACTCTAGTTCTGACTCGCTTTACCGTAACAAGATGCAACTAGAGTAGGCCTATTTGAATGAATGGAATACATGGAGGGGTGACTCACCAAATTCCCAGAATTAATGGGTCTACTCTAGTTGCGACTTACTACACTATTTCAGTCAGGGCTTACTCTAGTTCTGACTCGCTTTACTGTAACAAGATGCAACTAGAGTAGGCCTATTTGAATGAATGGAATACATGGAGGGGTGACTCACCAAATTCCCAGAATTAATGGGTCTACTCTAGTTGCAACTTACTACACTATTTCAGTCGTTGAATCCTAATTATTTGTAGTTTGGGTTTTTTTCTTGTAGGTTTAGTAATATAATGATGAACGAGGCAAGAACTGGGAATGCAGTTGATGAGGCCATGCTCTGCAGTCGACATTCTGAACGCGGCCTGAATTTGGCAATATTACTACACATAAGACAGCCCGTTGAATTTTAATAGCCTGAAAAAATATATTTAAAGCAATTCTGTTCCTTCAAGACAATTTAGACCATGCCAGCTATAGCATCTGCATTTTCCAATGCCAGACACTTGTCTTTCAGTGGAATTAGATCTATTTCTGCTGTGTAATAAGTGTGGGAACTCCAGCATCCCCACATTTCCTATTTTTCTTCTGTGGGCCAAGAACTTAAATATAGATACGTAGAATAAAACTGACTTTAAGGATCCTGTTTATAATTAAGACATATTAGAATGCCCTCTCCTGGAAAAAAGGATCTCTTTCAGCTTCTAAATGGCCATTTAATGGCTAGGCTTCTTCTGCAACCCACCGCCACTTAGGTCTGCATTTTGCTCAGCTGTGTGGAACAGAGCTTAGAAAGCAGAAAAAGGAGGTACTATATTTCAGGGGACCAGTGACTGAACTTGCACCTGAGAAAGGACTAGAAAGGTTCCTCCCTTCCTCACAGGAAGGAAAAGTCTTGGAGAAGACATACTTTTTTCTGCTTTAGAAAGCTATCAATTCGTTTGTGAATCAGCAGACATTGCACCAGTTCTGCCTTCATTCCCCCTTTTAAAAACAGTCTGGCAAACTTAATTCACTGGAGCTATTTTGTCTGATTCTGAAAGCTGGCCAGTGCTGGACCTAGTTTGTAATGGGGTGTTTCTGGGCCAGGCCAAAAAGCTGAGGAAACACAAAGCATCTACAGAGACTCCACTTTAAGCTGCCAGTTAACTTCTATTAGGAACGCCTCTTGCATTACATACTGCACTTAAGCTGAAAAATATGGATGGGGAGATGACTACTTTTTATAGCCAATGACGAAAGACCCAAGGTGATGTGACCACAACGTTCTCCCAAACGTCCTTTCAGCAGAATCCCTCTGGTGGGTCCATCTAAGGGGGTCCCTGATCCATCAGAAGGACTACAGGTTCAAGCCTGACTGCTGTTAACCTCTGTATCCATTCAAGTGTTTCGATTCTAGTTGGGTCCCTCCGCTCTCAATGGCTTTTCAACCATGGCGATCCAACTGTGGAAGGCTCTCCCGGAGAAGGGTCAACTGGCACTAGCCTTGAAGCCTGTTTGATGGCACATGCAAACGGTTTCATGAACTCATGCTTTTTTTTTTGGTTGTATGTTTGTGCTGTGACACTGGCTGCTTTAAAGGTGACACTGTTCTGCTGTTTAAGCATGTTGTTTTATCATTAGATAAACGTTTGAGTTTATCATAGGGATGATGTTTTACTTCCTAAAGTAAGCAAAGTCTCAGCAGGTCTGGGGGGGAGCCGTAGGTGACCACCAGCGTTAATGCTTCATCTGATGTGGGGCCTGTGTCTTTTTCTGCCATGTTTCTCCTCCATTACATCCCCAAACCGTATGTAGACAAAAAGAGCATTTAGGTCCACCCTCCCTACCACCGCTTATGATGCACACCTTGCCTGTGGTGTTCCTGGAGGTCTGCAGGTTTTGCAAACTGGGTGTCTTGAGAGGAGACATCCTGAGGGAGGCCCACGAGCATCTGACCCTCAACCCCCACACGGTGTCTCCATCGTAGGTGCTTTCTGGAGCACAAATCCTGACATGGCCACATCCAGTGAGGACCTCAGTTGGATTATTCGGTTTCTCTCTCCAGGCTCGTTAAGCTGCGCAATGCCCAGCCTGAAGACGATTCTGGATTTGAAAGGCCACCTGTTATTACTACTACGCTGGTGGCCTTGATAAAGGGACTGCCTGTCTCTGTTTTGGACACTGTCCCCTCTGAACACCCACCATCTATAGGAGAGGCAGACCCTCTGGGCTATCCTGCTGCCCTCCCGCCCCACCCGGTGTCCCTGTCCAGCCGTCGGGGGGGGGGGCTGAAGGAGCTCGGACGACTCACCTGCCCAACCTTCCGCAGGCGGCTCCTCCAAGTCTCGGGGCAGGCGAAAAGCGCAGCAAAGTGACGAGCACCTTCTGCAGGCGGCTCCTCCGAGTCTCGGGTCAGGCAAAAAGCGCAGCAAAGTGACGAGTCGGCATGCTTGCATCCGAGTCTCTCCCTCCCTCTCTCCTGAGGACAGATACCACACTTACACAGGTCTGAAAAATATGCGAAATATTTCTTTTAATGACCCTGCCGCGATAAGTGTGCATACCAATTTTTTTTCCATTTCCCACCAGCCATCAATACAATTCAGATTCTTCCCATTCTTGCAATATCTGAATGCTGATACAGCTGAGTGCCCACCACACAAACAGGCAGAAGATACAGCTGTGATGGACGCTTTATAAATACCTCAGATTAGATAGACAGACAAAAGCATCCCTTAGGATTTAGGGCTTTGAGTCCTGTTTGTGTAGAAAAACAAATAAAGACATGCAGCTTCGCATTCCAGTATCCCAAAATAAAGAAAATTGCTCCAGGCCGTTGTTTTAAGCCTCTGAGAGGCTGGAGATTGAAGGCCAGTTTTAAAATTATGGCGCTTGACATGAATACTAGGCAGTACTGTCGAAATGACATCACCTGCCTCACTACTAACTGGCCCCCACTTTGACCTATACGAGATGCAGCAAAGCTCTTTCCAGTCTACAAGGCAAGCCTCACGTCCTCCATTGAGCCTGCCTCTGGCCCTGCTTCCAGGGGCTGAGAAGAGAAGCTGGCTGGTCTCACTAATTCCACTGTACCGACTGAGCAAAGGCCAGAGAGTTAAAAGAGAACTGTGGAGAGTCGAGCCAACCTCGGTCTGACGCAGTACCCTGAGGGAGAAAACAGAGTTTGCTTCTGGACCCATTAGCAACCAAGAGTTCCCACAGTAAGTGCAAAGTCCCTCTGCACAAGCACAGATTGTGCCGGGGAGAAGCACGACTACAACACAGCTAGCACAGCCAGGCTCCTGGTCCTGCTGTTATGGTATTGGCAAACGTGTGTAAAAATTCTTGCACTGACCACACTGCTCACGTAGATGTTGCAGGAGAGCCACCTAGAACTCTCCAGTCCATTTTAAATAACCTAATGCAAGATATAACTTCAATTATATGTTTCAATACACAACAGAGGAAAACCCCTCCTTAGTAAAATTAAAGTCATGTTAGAACACAGACGTCGCTAGTTTATAGGTTTGGTTCCTTCAAGCAATTTTAAGATACCAGGAACAGAGTAAGATTGTTTAAATGATCCTAAAGGGGGGAAAACCAGCAGCACAAGCTGCCAAAAGTGCATCAGCAAATGCCCAGACATGCCGGGCATGCAAAAAAACATGCCAACTCTTCCCTTTGAGCATCAGTAATTTGAGTTACTCTGCCCGAAAGTGATTCTGGGAGAGATTGAGTCAAGCACAAAGCAAGGGCTGAGTCAACCTCATGGAATCTTACCTTCCTGTCAGGACTGCCCACCCAGGTCTGCAACAGAGGTCCTATGCAGGAAGGAAGGGAGAAGCTGTGGTGCAGGGGTGACGACAGACCACCACCCTGTTCTGATGTGCTCCTGGTCCAGCCCACAGACCTCGGCTGCAGCTTACTGCTCCTAACCTAT